AAATTTTGCATAAATTTATAAATTCTAATTTTGTTCAAGTTAAATAATAATTCTGCCCAAATTTAACTATAAATTTGCCCAATTTATTTTCGCCAAAATTTATAATTTTGCCAAATTTATATTCAAATTCTGCTTAAATTAAATCTAGGGTTGTTAAATTTTGAGTAAGTTATATATAATTTACTGATGTAAATTTTGCGTAACTTAAGCTTATATATGTAAATTAAACTCAAATTAACTTCTAGAGATAAAATTATGAAATTTGGCCTAAAAGTGCTCAAATGAAAATTTTATTAATTTTACTCTTGAATATCGATATACAAAAATTATCACATGATGTTCTTGACTAATTAAAAATTTTTGATAATCACCAATTCTCACCCCCTTTTCTTCTTTCACAGAAAAAAATAATTTTCTGCCACTGTATAATTAAAATTTCATAAAAAACATTAAAATTTCTAATATGCAAGATTTTGATTCAAAAATTTATTAAAAACTATCACATATAATAAAGAATGGAAGTACTTTTAGTTGTTTATGCTGTGGTATTTCACAATATTCTATGATGCGTAGGAACTGTTCCGCTTGTGTGGACCTCCTTCGGTTGATGTTTGGAAAGAGAATGTTATGCACTTACTAGACAATCTCTTTTCAGTATATTGGATTTAATGTGTATCCTACAATGTGTTGGAATTGTTCCATTTATGTGGGCCTCCTTCGATCGATGTTTGGGAAAAAAATATTATGCTCCTGCTTTGATATGCTAGATATGCACATGAGATTGATATTTTTTTTTTCAGAAATCTATTAAGTCAATGCTATACATGTGTTTTTTTTTTAGCTTTGTTGTCAATATTAACTTATTTGATTTTTTTTTTTTTAGATAGATATTTCAAGTGGTGTTACTGATTATTTGGGTAAAATAAACTATGCAAAATGGAACATTATTGACTGCCTTAAATATTTGGATAAAAAAAATTGTATGGGGCTTGTATCTGAAAACAAAGAGGAAATTTTGGCAGAAATCAAAAAGCAGCTCCATTTAATAAGCATCAATCAGTCATCAAATAGAAAAGCATGGGATAAAGCGATAAAACTTTACAAAAACGTGGAGAAGCAGTTTCAATTTAAAGAAACTATAGCGTTTTTTATTCAAATGGATGAAAAGGTAAATATTATGCATAATCAGTAACATTAATTAGCATAATATCAACTAATTTGTAGGTCAATATAAACATATTTGATGTCAAAACGAATCTATATGGATCAGAAGTTGCAG